AAGTATTACCACAATTGATAAACAGCAATCACCACTTATAGGTAACAATCATGGTGTGGCTATTTTACAAGTAAAAATGACAAGGACACAGATCAATTCACTTGAAATACACGTTCCCAGTGCTGGATGAAACTAGTATTTCAATTAAAAACTGAGTCAAATTTCAATTCAACTACAGTAACCTGTGGTATAGGGGACGGAGGAGCAGCATCCATGAGAGACTGTGAGCTTGCTTTGTTAGCGAGTCTGCATAAAGCCACCGAACTATCTCTTTGGTGCTTTGAGTTGGTGGATTCTAAAAGTTCCAAAAGCAGCGAGAGTCCTGCAAAAATAGCAGGTCGATGAGGTAGACAAGTTGTAGTCACAATCCCAGCAAGTTCACATTGCAGAAAGTCCAGATCGATGTGGTACCAACTTCATACACAAATTAGTAAATATCATACCATTTTTCTCTATGAAAATGGTTCTTTGATCTTCTGGAGAACAGAGATGAGCCAGGGCCAGAGCCACACGTCTTTGGACACTTATCTCTTCCACATGCATCATGTACAGTAAGTGACTCAATACCTGCTCAGTGAAAACATACACCAAGCTGAAGATCCACAAATAAACTGAGGGGTAGCTAACAACAACAGTGTGCCCACAGAATCTGAACAACTCGCAACAGAAGGTTTGTGTTCATCTTCTCTCCGAATTACAGATAAGAAGTTACTGATGGCTGATTTAATTATTTGATGGCCTAATTACCAGACTTCTTAAAACTCAAGACTGTTTATATAAACATTGTGCAAAATTAAAGGATTAGTAGAACAAAATTACTGTATACCAGAACTAAAAACAAAAGCTTACCCGCCCATGGATCTTCTCTTCAAGTCTCTTCAGTGTCTTGGCCACACAATCCCTTGTGGGCTGCAGTCAATGGAAAGATTTATTAAATAATATGATTAAACCAAATACATGCAACTCTAATGGAAAAGATAATCAGTAAGCATTAAGAGTGTACTTGGACAATAAATTCACCGTCCTGAAGTTTCTGAACACCTCCAACTCGAACAAAATCTGCAACATTATCCTTCAGCAGATATAGTGGAGAAGGAAAAAAAAACACCAGCCAGTCAGATCAACCTTCATATTCCAATAAAGTTATTTTAACACTCCATTTTGAATACCTCATTATCTGCAAGCCCATAGAGAGCAAATGCAGCATTATGTTGCAAGGATCCATTTTTGGACTCAAGAAGCTTGAGTAATGGGACTATCCCGCCACTGTGTGCAATACCAGCCTGATTATGAGAATCCTGCCCCCACCACACACACACACAAAAAAAAAAAGACCGATTGCTCAATATTTAAACCAATTCAACTAAATGAGAAATTCTGTGATGTTTCAGGCTAACATGACCAAGAAGAAAATTGGAAATATTACCTGAGCTAACCTCCCCAGAGCAAATGCCGACATTTCCCTTAACTGAGGGTCTGTTGACTGGAGCATTTCTATGAGTGGGGGTACAGCACCTCTTTGAACAATGTGCACCTGCAGAACAGAAACATCAGGCACGGATTCGTGAGTAGGAAGAAAGTTTGACAAAAGAGACATCTCTCTTTCTATTGTTGTTCATTCCAGTATTCCAGGTGTGATGGAGAAAATATTATATTTGTCAACCTTACAATCTGAATCTGTCGCAGCAAATTGCCCAAGAAGCAGAGCAGCTTCCCTTTGGCTCTCTGAGCAACAGGAGCTGTTATACACATATACATCAGGACAGCATTTCATATGGAAATCACACACAAATCATAAATTTTTGATATTTAGGAACAAAAAATAAAAAAGACAATAAAATGGACTAAATAGTGCAAAATAATGCAGGGAATAAAATGAATAGAAGTTCCTAAAGCTGGACTTCAAGGAATCCACCGGCAGAAAGGTGATTCTGGGTCGAGGCAGTTGGCTTCTAGTTCTAACAGAGAGAACCAAATCATAGAATGATGAGGATCCCCAAATTAATACAGATAAGAGGTTGAACTGCAATAATATGATGGAAAAGGACCAAGGAAGAATGATCAAGTTCACATGGCTTAGAACTAGCATGAGATGTTTTCTTAAGCTACAACACCATTCTGATGGAAGAAGGCCTCGGTAGAGCCAGGGTGACAATGACCAGCAGCGATGATGCAGTAAATTTAGATATGGTCCACCAAGACAAAGCAAGGTGTGTAAGCATTCGGGAGGTGCAAGAATACTGAATGAACCTGGTTGATACAGCAGTTCAATTTACAAACATTGGTCTTTCTTTTCCTACATTCCCGTACAACCAGAAAGAACAGTGTTTTGTGGTTCCCTTTTTTTCCAACTTCGAAGAGAAATTATGCAGGGCAAACAAACAAAGAACAAAGACCCTAGAGGGAAAAATAATCAGTAGAGAATCTTCCATTCGAAATATAGCCAACCATACCGAAGTAACCCAATGACAGGTTGCAAAGCTCCAGCAACAAGAACTTCCTTCTTAATGTTTGGAGATGAGTGGACCAGGTTTCCAATAACACCAACCTGATAATTGCATCAGAGACATTAAAAGATTATGCAGATTAGTCCAAATACAATTTCAAAACAAAATCAAAATAATTGAGGGAAAAACTAATTGCTAACCGCTTCGTAGTGTATGGCTGCATCCTCAGACCGCAGCATTAGTATTAAAGTAGGAAGAGCATTGCATTCCACAATCTGAAATAGTTACAGATTTAGAACCATATAGTAGTTCACAACATATACTTCATAGGTTACTGAGTCAAAGATTACCTGATTTTTGTTCTCATCATTTTTGAAAGCAAGGGTTCGAAGGGCTCCAGATGCTGCTCTCTGCACCTTTGCATCAGGAAATTCAAGCAATTCAACAAGAGGAGGAATACCACCCTCAGTCCTGAAAGCATGATTCAAGTGTCAGATAACAGGAACATCAGGCATTTCCAGTCAGAAAAGGAAAAAAAAGGAAAAAAACAATAACCTGACACGGGTTTTTATGCTGCTATTCTCATGAGCAAGGTTAGTGATCGCATCAGCTGCTCTCCTAAGGACACCATTTACTGCTCGAGAATTTGGATCATCATCACGCCTTGCTAATAGTTTAACGAGATGGGTTAGAGCTCCCGCATCGACAATAAGCTGCTGATGCTCTGGCTGTCAAACACATACGATAGGTAAACAAATGATTGTTACGACAAAATCATTTTTCTAAGTCCATAAAACATACAAAATGTTATGCCCTGACCGGAAAGCAATGAAATTCCAAATTACAGCAAAAATATATATATGTATATATATATGTACCCGACTTTCATAAGTAGTTGTATTTACTCTTGGCCATGAGTTTATACACAAATCCATGAAAATTGTATATATATAATAAATGAAGCGTGAATTTAATATTACTAGTGTCTGTAATCAAACTGATCAAATATTCACCACAACTTGAGTAAAACATGTGAACATCAACGAAGAAAAAGAAAAGAAGAATAATTTATCCACAACACTTCTTAGATTTTCTCTCGTTTCAATGAAATATTGACAATCTCGATACTTTTTATTACATCTGCAGGATATCAACAAAAAGGAATTCAAATATAGTGGAGCAAAAATGAACCCATCAGATAAAAAGCAGCAAATAACTTGAAAGTATACGAATCTGTGAATGCTTCGGTTTGAGACCACGATCTTAATATCACAAGAACACTCGTGAAAGGGTGGGGAAGCAAAAATTAGATTACTGATTTCAGTAGTAAAAAGAACCTAGATAACATAAGAACAAGATATCTTATCAAGTACTGCAATTACTTTAATAGATAGGAGTCCAAGAGTGAAGGCACTTCCTTTCTCCACTTCATGCTCGTACAGCCTCAGAGCACCTTCTCTCTCCCTCACAAATGCTGGAGCCTGTAGATGCTTTACAAGTACGGGAACCGCCCCACAGTCCACTATCACATTCACTACATCCTCTGCAGCACATGCACAATTCCATTGCAGATCACAAACACAAACACAAATCAAAATCCAGCAAATGCACATTTAAAATAGGCTTGCACGAGCACATAACAAATTGATTGAAAAAATTCACTAACAAAACAGTTTCTCCACTGCAACATCTCCTACGACCACATGCGCCACAATCCACCACAGATCAGAACCCTAAACGCATGATCAAGCACATGCACGCTCAAGCAGAACGGTCACTACCTCACTGGGAATAAACTAACAAACTGACAGAAGCAAATAAGCAATAATAAGTACTTTCTGTTTCGATTTTTCCAGTACCATTTTTGGCGAGTTCGGACAGGACGTGTATGGCGCGCTTTGCCGACGCGCGATCTTGCCCAGCGGATGAGAGAGATGAATCGAGGATCTCGACTTGGATGCGGATTTCATTCGCTAGATCTCGCTGCGATTCGGAAGCCGATTCGCCGCCTATTCTCAACCGATCGTCGCCGAACTCCTCGTCTAGCTTCCTCTTCAAGCTCCGCCGCGAGGAAGACGCCACCGCCGCCGCCGATTGCTCGCGGTCGGGACGGCCCGAGCTCTGGTTTTTGCTGTCCATGGGAAAGGATATGATACTGAGAGAGATTAAAATGTAGTGTGTGAAAATGGTTTTGTGTGTGCGTGAGATCGCAGATGGGAGTTCGTTTGCGTGGGCAAAATAGTAATTGGATGTGACTATTTTGAATGTTATTCTAATATTTTTTTTTTTTTTCAAATTTATATTTTGTAAGTTATCTTAACTAATTTTATTTTAACAGTGAATATTTTACAACTTAAATTGAGGTCATTCATTTAATTAAAAGGAAAACTATGTCTTTAAAATATTAGATTTACAAGTAAAAGTTTGTTATCTAATTATCTTATATACCGGCCTTACACATGTATTTTGTGGTAAGATGTACACAAATTGTTTTTAAAATCCAGATAAATTTTAATAAGTCCAAAAAAATCCAAAAAATTGATAATAAATTAACTATCTCATTATTTTCTAGGAGGTTTTAATTTTTTTTTTTTCAATTTCTAAATGAATACAAACTATTAATAGTTTTAAAATATTCAAAGTCTTTGAATTTTTGGAGAAAAAAATTGTTGGTCACGGTTTATAATTCTGTTGAATGAATATAGTCAGTTTTGAAGCAGCCCATCCTATTCAAATTATAATTTAAATTTTAAACATGGTCCCCCATTCTGTCTAAATAAATACAATAAATTAGAAAAATATTTATATATATCCTTTTTAAAATTACTTAATTTTTAAGTGACATTTTAAGAATTTTCGAGATTTGAGACTTTCTTGGATTTTCAGATTTTGAAAGAATTCTATGAATCTCAAGTCCGGAGGTAAGATTTGAAGTGGGATTTCATATAAAGTTTTTTGTTTAGAAATCCCACTAGATCTTAAGAAGTCTTAATAAATCCTAGTGTCAAAAAAATTAAATACCTCAAGATTTTGTAAGACTTTTGAAAATCTCAATTGAATACCCCAAGATTTTTAAAAATTTTAAAAAATCTTAACAAATCTAAATTGAATACACCAAAATTTCTAAAGTCTTAAAAAGTACTTAAAAATCCTAATTAAATACATCCCTGTAGGTGAGGGGATCTGGGATTCTCAATATGGTCTCATAACAATCAGACATAGTTTTCAATGAAAATTTACTGAAATTTAATCTCAATGCCAATAACACTCAAAATTTCACGGTAAAGGAAACCTACAGGCTACAAAACAGACTACTTGTCATGAAAATTGCATAAAGAATATTTTGACATTTTGTTCAAACCTGTTTAGCATCTACTAAACAACATTGTCCACCAGATTCAAAATTCACCAACATTCCGTGAGCCGGCGAATATTACTCTGAGTCTCAGGTAACCACATTTAGTTTAATAAACAGTACTTTCGACAAAAATCGTACATGGAACTATACAAAGTAATAACTCAAGAGTCAAGACGAACACAAACTAATACCTCTCCCTAACACTCTTGGACTTTTATACCATGTCATTGATTTCAAGCATTCAAAACCGTACAGTATCAAGTATCAACTATCAAGAATGGTAAATGAGCTCTTTACTGTGTAAAAGATTTGATGTCGGGCAAGCAAGTCGTGATCTTCGCAAGTTAAATTAAAAAGAAAATCCATCGACCCATCATTCCTTCATGAAGTCGAGGATTTAGCCTTGTTGGCGTATTTGCCATATCTTCTGGCAATCTCAGCATCAGTCAATAAATCCCACACCTGTAAAATAACAAGAACAGATTTTTCAATAATTCACAATAATTATTCCTGATAGCAGTACTTGATCCAGAAAAGAATACAAAACCCACCTGTAATTTTCCCTTGGAGCCTCCGATAGCTAACGTAAAAGGGCAATCTTCCGAGAAAGAAACAGAAAATACAGCCCCCTAACAAAAAATAATTTAGAAAGTCAAAGATCTCACAAACATACAACAAAAATAAATTAAAGTGCTCATCGATACAAAATTTGCATTTGCTTATCTAGAATGCAATTGTTTAAAAAGTAAAGAAAAAAAAATATGGGTGATTGAAAGCAATCCCTAAAAGACAATTGAAGTTAGCCCACAAGAATTTTATGGACAAATGTCATAGACATATGAACTATTCATTCCCATATCATCAATGGAAGGTGGAATTAGACAAGAATTTTTTTTTTTATCAAAAGCAACATACAGCTTTAGGGTTTTTGGAAGCAATGCATGTCGGCTGGTTTGATAGATCCCAGAGCTTCACCTGTAGTGGAAATAAAGGTGCCAACAATCATCATTTAAACTTGTGAAGAAAACAAAACCAGGTTGAGCATAATAAGATAAACATGAAAGATATCGAAGAATCTGAAAATACCATTTTATCCTCTGAACCAGTAGCAAGAAGCTGCAAATTTATACTCTCAAGGTGAGCCCAGAATTATAGTGCATTAGTGAAGGGGAAAAAAAGAACAATGCTGAGATATGATACATACATTTGGGACGGAACTATTATAGGCAATTGTGCAGACTGCTTTGTCATGTGCATGGATTGTGAAGCTCGGCTCAGGCTGAGAGGATGAATTAGAGCTAGCCTTACGAATATCAAAACCAGTAACAGTGCCATTTTCTAGACTGACCTGTAAAAACAACAAGGTCAATGAAAGTTACCTGTAATGAACATACGGAGAACTACATAAACTTGCATTTTGCAAATGAAAATGTCAAGGTCAATGAAAGTTAGAGCACAAACCACGAACGAATGCTCTGTGTGTGGGTCCCACGCCAAGCTTTCCACATCGGCTGCAACTGTCCACGTAACTCCCTGATGTTCGGGTATTCTCACATCTTTCTGCAAAGGACAATAGTTTCACACACACACACACACACACATATCTCAAAGCTGAAAATGAAGCTAGTAAAACCAAGAAGCCGTGATATGCTGTATTAGCATGAGTGAAATTCAGTACCATATTCACAGTGTGATCAAACGATCCACTAAGAAGAACGCTGGGAGCAAAATCATTCCACGCAACAGCTTGGACCTGAAGGCTCAATTGATAACCACATATCAACACATACCCATCGAAAAAAAAAAATAAGGAAAAAAAAAAAGAATTGAATATATTTTCAAGTTGAAACCAAACATTGTGTAGTTGCGTATGTGGTAGTTGTGGAATGAATATACATGTCCCAAGCACACCATCATGTTGCATTTTCACATGTTTACAAGTTTTATAGATAGCAAAACTGAAATAATGTCACTGAAAATAAGATTCATCCTTGCCTTGTCCGTGTGGGTTGCAAAGGTTCTTGTGCATGCTTCAGTTGCCACATCCCATATCTTAACCAACTTGTCCGCACTTGCACTAGCAAGTCCATTACTGAACGTTGTACCCAAAACAGAAGAAACAAGACAAAACACTACATTTCAAAACCTCCACCAATATAGTGAATAAAACGTCTGAAGATTATGCACAAACCTGAACGCTTTGTTCCAAGCAAGTCCAAGAACTGCATCTGTGTGACTACCATCCTTGTATTTAATAGATTTCTACTCAAACAGAAAAGGACCATCCATCAAGCAAATTGCAGAAAGTGAAGTTTTGTGACAGTATTCAACTTTCTTAAACTACTGTGACAGCATAAAGTACCTCAAACTTAATAACTGTGGCTATGAAGCAAGACAATGAGTTATAGATTAATATATATAAAGCAACGATAGCACATGGACAAGGAAAAAATCTCTATACACATGCTACTATAGATATTAGCCAATGTTAAATCTTGCCTTCTTTCCCTTTCTCTTCTTTTCGATAATGCCACCGAGTGTCGCAGATGCCTGTACTTCATCCATCTAAAAGGAAACAGCATTTGAAGATTAACAAGATCGTAAAAATTTCAAGCAATGTATCAATTATCTAACTAAAAAGGACACAAACTACATACAATATCAAGGTCCCATATCTCAATGGCTGGTTCCATGGAGCCAATAGCAATGAAGTTCCCTATTGAGAAGCAAAAATCACTTAATGGCGTGAGTAGATCGATTAACGACCAAAAGTGTAACAAGCCAATGTGAGTGTGAGAGAGAGATTAAACATGTTTCCCTAGCTGAATTCCATGAGATATTAGATTCTAGCAGCATGATGAAAGTTGAAACTGTGTCACAGACTTTACATAAAAATATCTACGTCACATGAAAATGGAAAATAATAAACGCGCCAAAGGTCACTAAGACTTAATACCACTACAGAGAAAGATGATCAACTAAATGTGAGTGAGGCCACAGGCTCATGTAAAAGGAGTTAATGTGCGTGTACCGTCATTACCTTTCTCTCCACCTTTAAGAGGACAACCGATCCATGCAGTGCAGAGTGGAAATGCTGGGATGACAATATCATGGTGCACATACATGTTGGAATCGCCATTTGTAGGGTCTTCCAATATCCAGACCTGCTTTAGAAATTGATTTGAGAGATTGTGGCATCTTAATATATATGAAAGAACTTGAAGATGCACGTTTTTTTTTTTCCAACTTCACAAAAAATTGCATGCCTCAAGATGGCTGACGTCATCCTCATTCCGAGCACAAACTATGACTGCATCCTCCGGCTTTATTGTAATATCTTCTTCCTCTTCAGAGTCTTCTTCCTAAACGAGTAAAATAAACATCGTTAGAGAGTGAAATATTATTGACAGAAGATAAAGGGTGAAAGATGGCCAACTTTTGCCAAGATTTCTTAATGTAAGTGATGACTATTGAACTCAAACTATCATATAGGGCAACTTACATCCTGACCCTTCAAATAAGGGTCCATGTCATTACTTGGATAATATAAGTTGCCAAGACCCGAACCAAACAACTCAACACCTGATCTCCACAAGAAAAAATCCATTCAATATATCACAAACTTCCAGTGCAGACATGAACTAAAGCATTTAAGAGAAATTTACAATATGCTGGATAGCTTAAGCATATCCAAAGGAAGCGCAACTAGTCAATTTCATCGATAGATTCAGATTTCTATGCAACAAACATGCCAATAAAGTTACTAGATAAATATACCATCATCATCCTCGTCATAATTATCCATGTCCAGCTCCTTCAATGCATCTGCCAAGCTATCAGATTCCATCTTTGAACTCTTAGAAGCTTTTCCAAGTGCACTCGCAGCGGATAATGCACGAGAAAGTTCATCCCCTTGACTAACTGCATCAACATTCATATCTTCATCGTTTTCCTCATTTTCACTCTCTCCACTGCAAAGATAACACATGTTCCACTCTTCTAAGTCTTGAAACAGAATCGACAAAGCTCAGTCCTCTATACTATAAAGGTCCATTAACGTTTCTCCACACTTTTTTCCCCTTCATATTAGAAAGGGTTATCCTTTCATTTCATAAATAATAAATTAGGACACTACACTGTCTTACCAAAGAAAACTAATAAGACAATTCAAAGAGCAAGAAAGAAAGATACAAGCCATCTATACAGTTTAACTAGGTCCAGCTAAGAAACGGGCAACAAAATGGCAGGAGCTACAGATGGTCTATTGAAGAGTACAAAAAGCTTAGTAATCCACTCAACAAAAATGCATAAGGTGATAAACCCTTACTCAATCTCAAGGACAATCCATTGTCAAGATTTAACATAATCACTCAGCGTAAAAAGAACAGAAAATAAGGACAGCCAAAATCTAACCGTGTTTCCAGAACACCACTCTTCAGTAACTCCTCTATTTTTTCATTTGAAGGGGGCTCAGCTGCTGTGGGAACTGTTTTCGAGACCCCTTTCGGAACCCATGAAATCGATGATATCATTCTTGAAACCAAAGCCTATCATTCAAATTGGAAAAAATAAACAGAGAATCATGTCAAAAAAACTGGAACCTGCGATTTTGTTACGAGAACAGTACGACCTTATCAACTACAGCTCCATTATATGATGATAGAAATCAGACAAGACCTGTTACCAGGCACTGAAGTTTTCGATCAAGAATGAAACTGAACAAATGAAACGGCAGGTTCGGACAGGAGAACGATGAAGATCTCTGGCTCAGACACCGATTGGAGAAATGAGAAACGATGCTTTTTGCACGAGAGTTTACCCTTAAACCCTAATTATTATTATTAAAAGGTCTCGGCGGGCCGGCCCGTAGCCCGATATCGCCGCATTTTGGCGGCGTCGGAGCGGATCGAGGAAGCGCCGACCCGGCCCCAATTAATACACCTGTCGGCTGTCGGCCCACACAATCTACATTCCAAATGAAAATCAAACNAAAAAAGAAAAAACCCAAAAAAAAATAAAGCTCTCTAAACCGATCAAAACATAAAATAAAATAAAGCTATATAATACTTTTATATAAAAAAAATGATATAAAATGATGTGTATGACAAAATCGTGCTATTAAATCAAACATATATTATATTTAAGTTTCTATAGCATGATTTGAAAAACAAAGAATATATTATTGAAAAACAAAGAAACTATACGGAGTTCAAACAAATAACCTACCGTGCATTTCAAAATAAGAAAATTGAGAGAAGGTAATAATAATTTTAATAATACAAAATGTTAGTGGTAAAAAAGTTATAATTATTAATTGTGATGTAGTAGAAAAATAATCAAATGATATTTATTATTATAAATATAAGTAGATGAATCATAAATTTGATAGATAAATAAGTAGTAATTATCGATTTTAGTTAAAAAAATGTTGGAAATTGTGAAGAGATGTAAGAAAAAGGAAAAACGTGAAAATGATTGAATAATGTACTTGTTGATTGGTGGATTGATTAGTGAGACTGAAAATGTAATAGCATACAATGAATCATCATATTTTATTAGGTTTTATTCTATTTTTAGACATGCTAGAATACAATGATTATATATAGTAATAGGATCGAGAATGAACTAAAGTCGATTAGTGACCGAGTGCAGAGTTAACAGGGACTCCTCGGCGTTTTAGGAGCTTCAGCACCTTAGCTCGTGCCGTCGTGCGGTTGGCTGAAAATTCTCAGCTACTTAAGAAACTTAACGATGGCTAGTGGCTGATGAGTTTGTGGTATGAAGGTCGACAAAGGTAGAGATAAAAGAGAGTCGGGTTTGAATTTTTGTAGTGTCTGAATTAGCAACTACTAACCAATGTCATAAGTAACAAACACATACAACTTTTCTTTGAAACCCCTAGTCATTCTCATTATTTTTTCCCAGCACTCACTCAAAAGAAAGAAATCATATAACGAAAGCAATCATCTATTCATTCTTTATATCTGACTCCACAAAAAGAGAGACCTACGGCTAAAACGTTAAAAAATACTCGGTTGGAAGTTCTGAATCCAAAGTAAGCACAAAGCTTGTTCCTTTAAACTCCATAACCAAGTTGCTCGCTGTTTTAAACTCAGATAAAAGCCTGTGTTCAGAAAAACTCCGGATATCCAGAGCAATATCTGAGGTCGGCGTCTGTAAACTACACAACCAATCCAAAAAAAGAAATGTGAAGAAATTGACTATAACGAACACAAAAAAGTAAATTCCGTCAACAAAAAACTCAGGAAGCACGAATGTTAACAATATGCAAAACCCAAGGAGAGACTGCGTGAAGCCCTCTCATAGAAAGGATCTTCAAAACATGCACTGTCCCTTCATGAATGTAAGCTCATCTTGATATATCATATTCATCTGACAAAACAAGACCAAACAAAATGAAGTTCACGATAACTATTTTATCAACTTACCCGAAGAACATACACTCTACGCACGGTCCAAACTTCCAAAGTAACTTGCCGAAACAGGCTACCTTCCACAGTTGAAAAGAAGAGATGGCATGAAACTTATTCCCACGCGCAAAACGTCATAAACCAAAAGAGGCGGCCCATCACTCATTACCCATCACACCTCATATCGAAAATCACTCACTAGGAAGAATATCTGCAAACGAAAAATCATGATTTGGGGCACCTTCCTGTCCGCCTAGGACATAGAACGGAACATGAGCAATCATCTTTCTACCTCCTTCATCCCAGCTAACCGTCCCTGGGTTCTGCGTGGCCTCACCTGAAGGACCCAATACAGACAAACAAATCGCGGGCTCACTCATCAACCCCAAATAATCCCGCGCGCGTCCCCAAACCCTAGCATCCGAAATTCTCGAACGGGCCACCTTTGCCAACGAGACACGGGCCCTTGGCAGCAGCTCTTGGTGGCACGTAGCCAGTTTGGCTATGGCTGTCACCACAAAACACAAAATCCTCGACTGGAAGGATTTTCTGAACTCGGGAGGACTCCCCACCTCGCCTAGCCCGATTCGACTAGTAGCGAGATTCTCGTATAAAATTAGTTCCAAACTCTCGAAGAGCTCACGAGCCGCCTCTTTGAAAGGCCTGCCTCCCCCTCCGTACTCCCCTACAGCCCAGCACAGCTGCATTGCTAGCTCGGCCTCAGCGGGCCCATCGTAGGCCTCCCCAAGCCGGTCAGTGATCGGCTTTTTGAGGATCGCGATGAAATGAGGCGAGCGGCGGAAGGCCGAGAGCACCAACTCCAACAGCCTTTTCTCAACATTATAACAGAATATTTTTTCCGGGAACAACGTAGAGTATCTGGTCATGATCAGAGGTATCAGAGCACATACTAGAGAATCGTTCGCGCGCGCATCACGAGCCGAGAGGGCGAAATAGGAATCGAGAATTCGTGGGGCTATGCGGAGGGCCTCCTTGAGCCTGGCGGAGAGAGGGGATGATTTGACCAGTGCTTGTAAAGCTGCCGCCATTGATGGGGAGGTCCAGTGGCGCTCGGCAAGGCCATCATTTTCGTCCTTGAGGAGATCGAGAAAGAGGGAGTCTGGCACGGCCATGGGCGTGCTGTCCTCGGATTCTGAGTCGGCACCACCGTCACCTATGGTGGAGCCCGTGTAGGCCTCGTCCATGAGCGCCAGCAGCATCTCGGGAGCAGCGCTCTTCTGAATCGAGGCTATGCTGGTCCCCACCAGCGGCCCTGAGGTTTTCTCAACTTTCTCCAACGCCACAACCAATATAGGTAAATCTACTACGGACGAGAAGAGGGGAATAAACGATCCTGGAGATATTAATCCGGGGAAGACTTCGAGGAATGATTGTTCTAACTTTTCACCGTTCCAAGCGATCAGTTTCAGCAGAAGGGGGAAAAATTGTGGGAGGAGTGCGGGGAAGGATCTTACGAGTTTTGGCCTGTTCGAGCTGAGGAACTGGAGAGTCGCCTCGGCGACGGCGGGATCAGAAAACTCGCGGCTCAGACACGATCGGAAAAACGTCCGTAGGCTGGGCTCGGCGTCGTGCAGGACTGAATCACCGAAATCGAGGAAGAATTGGAGGATAGTGAGCAAGAGAAGGCCGTTTGAGGTTTGGGATTGGGAGATCGAGGAGGCGCAGCGCTGGAATATCTTGTTGAGGTGAGGGTAAACCCTAGCCACCAATTCGTCTACTGATTTCTCGCCATCTCTGCAGAGGTCGTGGAGGCGCGTGACGGAGTTGAGGAGGGAGGAGTCGGAGGCGGGGTCGGGGGCGTCTCTGGCGGCGGAGGATAACGATCGGAGATGGATTTCCCATTCTCTGTCTCCGTCCGCCATTTTTGCTTTTCCTTTTTGTGGAGAAAACTGATTTCAAGCTTCAGTTGAAGTGAAAACGGTTGAAAACGCCAATTTTACTGTTTCGGTGTCCTTTTGAACGATGATTACATACATAAGATTTAGATTTTATCCATGAGAAGATTGGAATGCATATGAATGGTCCGTGCGTCCCAAGTCCAAACCATTTGGAAGAGTTTTAAAGGACTGGACCAAGTTATAACTAATTCCATGTAGGCCAATCTTTTTTGCTAATTCCACGCTGAGCACCGTCGTTTCATCCCAATCCCCATATCCCCACTCACCGGAGAGTAAACCAGACAAAGAAACCCAGCAAACGATCGCCTTATCAAACCATGGACATCCTCAAGCATGAGCTTCTGAAAAAACGGCAGAGCCTCGCGGATGACGCCGGCGGGAAGACATTCTTCAAGCGCTCCGAGATCGAGCAGAAACGTCTCCAGCGCTTGCGCGACGAGGAGAAGCGCGACGCCGAGGCCAAAGCCCTCCTCCGCCAGAAGCAATCCCTGCAGGAACAGCATCGGAACGACCCCGCCTCGTCGTCCAACCCTAGCTCCAACCCGGATATCCCCAAATCCAAGCCCGAACCCTCCTCCAAATCCCTAGCCGAGGAGCAGAACATCGACGACCTCAACCTCCCCCGACCGGAAGTCGTCCGCCGCCTCCGCTTCCTGAAACAGCCGGTCACCCTCTTCGGTGAGGACAACCACGCCAGGCTGGACCGCCTCAAGTTCGTCCTCAAGGCTGGCCTGTTCGAGGTCGATGACAGTGACATGACCGAGTGCCAGACGAATGATTTCTTGCGGGACATCGTGAAGCTGAAAAAGCAGCAGAAATCGGGGATTATGAGTGACCGGAAGAGGAAGGCGAGGGATGATGGTGGGGACGGTGATAAGGATCTGAGCGGTGATGGGGCATTCTCCGGTGCCGATCACGACAAGGATATGAAGAGGATGAAGGCCAATTTCGAGGATCTGTGTGACGAGGATAAAATCCTCGTCTTTTTTTAAGAAGCTGCTCAATAAGTGGAATGACGGGCTGAATGAGATGGCCGAGTTGGAGAAAAGGACGGCTAAGGGGAAGTCTATGGTGGCCACGTTCAAGCAGTGTGCACGATATTTGAATCCACTGTTTAAGCAGAGAGAAGGTGAGCTTGTTCGAAAATTTTATTTGTTCTTGTTTAAATATTTGAATCCACTGTTTAAGTTCTGCAGAAAGAAGGTGAGCTTGTTCGAAAATTTTATTTGTTCTTGTTTAAATTTTGTGATTATTTGAAAAAGGGTACTCTCTCATCAAAATGGAATCAATTCCAAAAATATATACCGTGGTTCTTAGTGTAATGCTCCTTCTGGTATTATCTTCACTGGTTTTGTGTTGTGGAGTACTGGGTAAATGCTTAACCCAGAGTAGTTAGCTGAATTGTACGCCGAAGAAATTAAATCGTATTATGTTGTATATCTTCTTTGATTCAATTCTTTCAACTTCACTCTTGTGCTGTGTATTGAATGGATGTGAAGTTATACATATCAATTTGGTAAAATATTGGCTGCTCACCTGGTCAGCATGTGTACAAATTGGAAGTCGACACGATAAGTAAAATTAGCGTTCAAAGTAATTAGAACTGCGACTTTTTCATGGGTTATTATTGTTGGCTGTTTAGAATACCTCCCCGATATTCTATTCTAGTGTCTGAATTAAAATGATTATTCATGTAAAAATGGTGCAACTTTTTTCAGGTGATGAGTGATGGTAGCGAATTAAAAACCGGGTCTCTCATTGTTTTTTCACCCCACGATGGGCTTCCTTTTTCCAGATGATATTCGGCAGGCATTGATGTTGATCGTGGACTGTTGCATGAAGCGCGACTATCTAGCCGGAATGGACCATTACATTAAGCTGGCAATGGCCCATTAGGGTCACTATGGTTGGGATATCCACGAACGTTGGGCCCGTGAGAAGATTTACACTAACAGTGTGGCCCACATCATGAACGACGAGACGACTCCTAAGTATCTGCAGTCTATTAAGTGGCTGATGACTTTTGCTCAACGGTGTTACCCTACAATCAACAGCCTGGCAAATGGCAGCGATTTGCAGTTATTGTTGGCCAAGGAGAGTGAGGGAAAGCTTCAGGAGAAGCTCCTTTTGATGCCTGAGAACTAGTTGAGATTTAGGATTTTTTGGATTGAGACTAATGGAGATTGTAATGTGTGATGTGTGGGATTTTAAGGGTTAATTGTGATGTGTTGTTGATTCTGTAAGCTAGTTTGCAGACTTTCCAACACATTCATTTGGAATTTCTATTAAGACTTTAAAAATTTTGGTGTATTTAATTTAGACTTTTTAAGACTTTGAGTTAAAGTAATTTTTTGTTTAATAAAGTAGATTAAGTTCATGATTTTGAGCTTGAAAATAAATAATATTCAAAATGTAATAGTTAAAGTTAGATGTGATATAAAAATAGGAGAGATATTATTGGATGTGATAGATAATTAAAATTATGCTATGTGTGAGATTTATTAAGTGATATTATTTAATTATATTTATAAAAAGTATGAGAGTTGAATTTCAGAGTTACATGATTGAATATTAAAATAAATCATATCCAATCCTTAGATATGAGCCTTGCTAGATAGTAAATTTAACCTAGATTGTATTTTAATTTTAATTTCTGGAAGGCTGAGAATTCCCTTTTAACTAAAAAGGGAAAATAAGATTTTTACCTCCCTGTACATTTTTTTGTCAATTTGCCTCATAAAATTTAAAAATTTAGAAAATGACAAAAGTTATGTAGCATCTTACTAATATAAAATGATTGCTTAAAAAATACATAATTAGTAACTTTGGCTTTTTAATTAAATGTTTGACTTAATATTATAAGAAATGTTTTTAAAAACACACGAGATTATGAAAAGAATGAGCAAATCAATTTCATATACTGTTTAAAAAAAAAAAAACAGGTGCATATTTTAAAAATGAATGTTACCTTATCCTTTTTCTTTTTTCTTACTTAACCACTTTTCTAATCAGTAGTACGTACCCCGTGCGATGCACGAGAGGAATGTATTAAATGAGTTATTTTCACATGCTCGGTCCGTTTAAATCTAAAAAGCAATAGAGTTATCATTTATTTTCCATCTCTTTAATTAGCGTTAAGTGTAGAAAACAATAGGATTATAATCTATATTCCACCTCTTTTAAACAATAGGATTGTAATTCATTTCCACCTCTTTTAATCGACGTTTTTTAAGCAGAACATTAAATATGAACATGTTAGGGATAACTTGTAAAATAATTAATATATTATCTTACTAACACATTTATAGTAATATAAATTTGATTTTAGATATATATATATATATTCATTGATATAAGAGAAAAATAACAGTTTTACAGCATCTCCAATTGTAAATGGATTGCTCTATTTCATTGCCACCTAGCTCCGAAAATCCAATGTGGCATTTAAAAAATGTAGAAGTTTTTCTATATGTAGAAAAATATATAAAATAGAACATGTGTAAACATTTTTTTGTTCACTAACCAATTATTATCTTACATGTGTCAAATTATTCCACAATTGACATTAACCATTGGAGACAAAATATTTTTATTCCCTTTCTCCACACCATTCATTTCAAAATATGTAATCAATTTATATATAAAAATTTATATTTAATGCACGTTAGATTTATTTATTTATGTAATCAATTTAAAATATGTAAATGGATTTAAAATTAAATAGTGTATAAATACTTTATAAAATATACACATATGTTTTTTTTTCGAATTTAATTTTGTATACTAATTAAACAACTTTGTTTTGCGAAATGTCAAAAACTCAATCCCTTTTATAATCAAGATTTTTCAAATTTGCATTATAAGGATTTATAGTTTTATTTAGCATACTGATCAATGAAAATATATTTCACAATAATTTCATTATAGAAAGAATTAAAATAAAAAAATAATAAAGAATATAATCATGGTTGCAATAATATAAAAATAAATTCTAAAGAACATTTAATATGTTTTAATTTTAATTTTTTATTATTAGTAAAACTATTTAATTTATATAGTCATTATCTCTTAAATGTTAAATTATATTAATTTGAAGAATAAACCTGTTACAATTTTTTATAAATATTTTTTGAACAAAAAGTTAATATTTGTAAGAAAAAAAATTAATATTATGGTTAGAACATAAAATTATTATAATGAATATCATCGAAATTATTGCAGATATTAATAAAATTATATAGAAAAACAATATTTTTGATCATATCTTATTTGATCTTATTTGAAAAAATGGATATAGAAGTAATTAATGCATATATTTAATATATTTAAAAGTTTTCAAAAAAGGGTATGCATTAAATGCTCGCAAATTTTTTGCTACTATTTTTAGTAAATGGTTATATATATATATATATATATAGATATAGATATAGATATAGATATTAAAGATGTTAAAAAAATAAATTCCTAAATTAATATCTATACATATATAATAAGAATTACTATTTATCAAAAACAGTAAGTCAAAATTTTTGGTCAACAATAATTGCATTCTATTATCGAAAATTGTGTTTCCTTTTTTAGCATTAATCGGCCAGCATTAATTGCAGGCTATAATTATGGGATTTTGCTTAATCCGATAAAGTTTAGAGCTTTAAAATTCTACTAGTACAGAGCCCGTGCGATGCACGGGGTGTACAATTTTAAGGTTATTTAATATATTTATAATTATATAAATGAATAAAGAAAAATGTACGGGATATATATAATACCTGACCCGTGCGAAGCACGAGATATATTTATTTGGAGAATATTATATTTTAAGATGCAATATTCAATAAAAGTTTATAATACGCAAGAAAATTGTACAATGTTCAATAAAAGTTTTATAATATTCAAGTGGAGTCTTAAAGTCTTTTATACATTAAGACTACTGACAAAATAGTATTTTAATCAATGAGTTTCCTTTCCTTGTAGCCAAATTGTGAATGTGATTTGAGGAGTACAACAAATCGATATATAGCTGACTTGTTTTTTTCATTGTAGTTTTTTTTTTCTTTTTTTTATTCCTTGATATAAGAGAAAGTATCAGTATTACTTATTGTTGTTCACCATATAATATTTAATTATTATTTTATTATATAATAAAAAAAGAATATTGTTAAATAGTGTAGTAGAATTGTTATAAAATTATATGATTTTTTTTTTCTTTTACAATATGGATTTAATATTTTTTTTATGATTTATAATTTAAACAAATCTATTCTTAGCTTTGAAAAATAAAACAAATAAATACTTTAGTAAGTATTTAATATATATACTAAATAGGAATATATTTGGTATAATCAAATACCAAATATAATCAAATAATTCAAAGTGTACATTTTTATTTGGTATTTGATTTTTTTATTATTAAAATCTTTTATTATACTTACCTTTTTAAAATAAATAAATAAATAAATAAATTAAATAAATAAAATATTATAATACAAAAAATGTGCAGTTGACTTTTCTGGACAGTAAATGTAGTAAATAGAATCTACTTTTATATAAGTATAGATATGATATTATATTATATTGCTCAAAATAGTATTGCATTTATTGCATTGACTTTTCAACTTACTAAATTTCGTAAATGGTACCCCTTATTATATAAGTATAGATTTTATACTTATTTGATTTCGAAAAATTCTGTTGCAATTTTAATGTGTAAGAGGCACGTGCAATTTTAATGTGTGAGAGATTTGATTGACATACAACTTCTTCCAAAAAATATTGTTGCAAATTTAATCAGTTGGCACTAATTGTGGTTTTTTCTTGCGATAGTTTACAGCTTTACAATTCTATTTTATATTTGATTTCAAAAACGTTGGTTGCAATTTTCATGTGTGAGAAATCTGATTGCTTACAAACTTCATTCAAAAAATCTGGTGTGGTTATTTATTTTTGATTTATTAGTATACAAACTTAGTTTACAAAAAACATTTGTTTATATTTTATAAAATATTTATACACTACTTAATTTTAAATTTATTTACATATTTTAAATTGTTACATAAATAAATAATACTAACATGCATAAAATAATTTTCATTACATAAAATAAAAAGAACAATAAGACGTACAACTTATGTAACTTTTATAAATAATAATGACATTATATGATACCAAAATTTATAATAAAATATAATTAGCTATTGTATGGTGAACAAGAATAAGTAAAACTGTTATTTTCTCTTATATCAAGAAATAAATATATATACTAAAATCAAATTTATATTAGTATAAATGTGTTAGTGAGATAATATACTAATTATTTTCCAAGCTAACTCTAACATGTTCATATCTAATGTTCTGGCTAAAAAAAAGGTTGATTGAAAGAGATGGAAAACATATTATAACATGTTGTATTTTAAACTTAACGCTGATTAAAAGAGGTGGAAAATGCATAATAACACTATTGCTTTTTATACCTAAACGAACGGGGTTTGTGAAAATAACTTATTTAATATTTTGTTCCGTGCATCGCGCGGGATACGTACTAGTTGAAGATAAAGCAATAATATCTTCTTATAAATCCACACATTTGAAATTTCAAATAAAATAGATTTAATTTTTTAACTTGTGAAAAGAAAGGAATTTGAATTGATTTCAAATTCCTAATCCCTTCAAAATCTCGTACATAATAGGAATATACCAACATGATGCAATCTGATATCATGTTAAAAAAAAAAAAAATATCAACGTGATGCAATCCGATATCATGTTTAAAAAAATAATCCTAAATTAATAGTGTATAGCATTTATTTTAGTAACTAATTATACCGTAATAACGTGATACAATCCGCAACCCGATATCGTGTTAAAAAAATTCTAAATTACTGTATTGTTTATCCAACATTTTAGGAACTAATTATATGCTGAATAGAATTGTATATGCAAAATTTTAGGATGTTTTAAATGCTCCGTCTGTTGATTTAAATGCTCCTTCTTTTTCTGTATATAAAAAAAATATCCTAATATAGTATGCAATAAATGTTTTCTCAAAATTTTTAGTTAGTATATTTAGTAAATGGTAATTCTTATTATATATATATATATAGATTTGGTGAATAAATTTCAAATTAATTTTCTTAGTAAAATTATCAGTACCTCTTTTCCAATGGTTTGTTTAACGATCTCATTTCCCACACAATTTTGTCAAAATCCGATTCTCACTATATTTACAAAATAATATACTTATCTATTACATAGAAAACTCGATTTTCAAAATGAGACTATATTTTTGGTGAATAATTCCGATAAGATTTATTTGGTAACAACGTGTGAATATACCATGATAATCTGTATTTTTGATAGCATCCTATTCATGTTTTCTCAAAAAATATTTAACAAAATTTTTAATTTAGGAGCAAATATTTTATTTTGAAACATCCAAATTATATATTTTATGACATTCAATTAGTCAAATATAATATTTAATTTTGAGTAATAATAATTTCAATTCAAATAACACATCAATACATTTTAAACTGAAAATGTACAATAATATCAAAAATAATTTGATATGGAAACGCATCAATACAACCAAAACTGAAAATTTGATCTTTATTTTACATGGCAATATATCATTCCAATATTCACCATAAGTTAATGCGAATATGAAAAAATATTATCAAATATATTTATCTATTATTTAATGAGAAATTTTAATTTATAAATATTAATAAATAATTTTTATCCATGCATCGCACTAGATTCATATTTGTGTTGTCCGAAAAAAATAATGTAGAATCCACTTTTTGGACTGAGTTATACAGGAAACTAGTACAATACCCGTGTACTAAATGGGTACTTAAATATAATAATATTTGTACAATAAAAATTAAAATAACGTATTTTTTTATTGCAAAATTTTTTATGATGAATATGCAACAATAATAAATAACCAACAAAATGATATTTAATTCAAACGGGGCTCGTATTTTTACACTAAATTTGTCAAAAAGAAAAATTAATTATATTTTTAAAATTATATATGTATAATTGCTTACAACTCCACATATTTGATTTGTTTTTGGTTAACAAAATAATTTTTGTGATTATATTTTATATTTATAGAGTCAGTGTCTCACGTCTATTAATTGTTCAAGTATTTTAAATTATCACGTCTATTAATTTTTCAAGTATTTTAAATTCATATAACTTATAATTTAGAATTTACGTAGAAGTGTATTATTTTTTAACTTTATTAAATATAAATTTATTTTATTATATTTAATTATGATATTATTTTATATTTACTATTTTAAATAACATAATAACATTCATTTTTTTATAATCTATTTAAATTAAAATATAATATTTTATAGTATTTCCTGTTTATTTAATGTAATAACTTATTTTCATTTTTTTTTTTGCAAATTTATGGAAAAAAAAATAAAATGATTATTTTACGTTGTTTTTATGAATTATATTTTTATTAATTTTACAAAATAATTTATATTGTTATGTGATGTATTTTATATTGAGTTGATAATAAAGTTAATTTTATTTATAAATATAGTTGAAATTATTTTATTTATTTTATATATCCAATATAGATGTCAAATCGAAAATTGTTAAAATATTATTATTTTGGTAGATCATAAATAAAAAATAAAATACAAATAAAAAAGTTGTAAAGTTTTAAATATAAAAAGAATAAATAGAAGCTAAAATAGTTTATGTTAATTCTCAAGCCTAATAGTCAAAACCAAACCTGAATATGTGCCAATACGAAGCACCAATTTGTGCCAAATAATCTTACGAATCACACGAGCTTGCCACTCAAGTTAAACGCATTCGGAAATTATATATAGAGGCGATGGGGCGATGGCCCTGTTTGGGATTATTGGGCTATATATTGGTTTTGGCAGTCCATTACACAAGCCCATTACTATTCTGTTCTGGCCCGTATCAACCCAGTTAGAACCCGTCCAACAAAACCCTAATTTTAAAGGCTTTCTCCCACTAGCAAGCAGCCAGAAAACGCACTTTGAGCTGAAGAAATTCATCAGTCGGCCTCCACCGAGCAGCTGTGCGGCGCGAATCTGCTTAAACCACATCGTATTTCAATCTCAACACTATCTCACCTCTTGAGCTAAACGTTTACTTATTGCACATGGCATTTTTCTGAATTTCTCCATCGTTTTTGTTTGTGCGTTCGTCACAGGAAAATGGCGGACAAGGCAGTGACCATCAGGACGAGGAAGTTCATGACAAATCGTCTCCTGTCAAGAAAGCAATTTGTATCTTAATCAATCCTTTTTTTTTTCCTATAAAAAAGTTGCTTTCTTGCCTGTCTCAAATTTGTATTTCATTTTTCTGTTTTGTTCTTGCAGATTATTGATGTTTTGCATCCAGGAAGAGCTAACGTTTCTAAGGTATGATCTCATTTTACAGTATATTTCACAAATGCTTCTGAACTTTTCAGGAGTTTTTAACATTAATTTCATCTTGCTGCATACGAGTGATTGTAACTTAATGGGAATCACAAATTACTAGTCATATTGAACAATTTTGTATAATTATAATGAGAAATATCATACTTTTGTTTATGTTGTTTTTAGAAGTATGCCAATTGTGTAGGAAAGGAATTGAAGTATGCATATTTGTTAAAAAAGTAGACACCTGAAGTATAGTCTTGTCTAAATGCAGCTCTATAGATTATGATTATATTCAAGTATTATGGGTCATCATTAAATTTTAGTTAATACTTCTATGTGAGAAATGTATTAGGGTTCTTAACATTGCTTCCCTTTCTCAATTGCATTTGCCGTAACTCAATTGAAGGCTGAGTTGAAGGAGAAATTGGCCAGGATATATGAGGTCAAGGACCCCAATGGCATTTTTGTGTTCAAGTTCAGGACTCACTTTGGTGGTGGCAAATCTACCGGGTTTGGCCTGATCTACGACTCTGTGGAGAGTGCTAAGAAATTCGAGCCAAAGTACAGGCTGATCAGGGTAAATAAGTTTCTTTTTGGTACTTGTGGTAGCTGTTCATATCTTCATTAATGCCGTATTTTTAGCCCTAGCATTTTTTAATGCCTATGTGAATTCACATTGCATCTCTTTTCCAAATGAAGAATCATATCTCGTATTTTAACTTGAATTTTACAACTCTATTTTACTGAAACGTCTTACTTTGTATCATTGAGCTATAAGATTGATTTATTTTTGCTGGCCAAGTTTGGGGATGTCACGGCTGAGTCTTCTTTCTCATAAGCTAGTAATCTTGAGGTGCACTGTAGCATTCGCTGAATTATGTGGCCTTCTGGTATTATAAACTGTGTTCCCTAACCAATAACTATTGATTATAGTAAGTTATTCAGATGCTGATTTTATTATTGCTCTAGAGAATATATCTGAAATTTACTTGCATTTTTATGTTCATTTTTCTTTCTAATTAAAATATTCTTCTTAGTGCCTGCAGCATTTAACCCTTTGCTAATTCTTGCCATTTGCTGAAAAATGGTTAAAAGGTTTTTTTACTCTATTAATATTCACGATGAAGAAGACATTTTGAAACAAGGAGTATTTAGATGAAATGCTGCAGATTTTTTTTTCCCACCACGGCTCCTGGAAAAAGGCAATATTTCTAATACGTAGTTTCTCTGATGAGATGTGTAACTTTGGTTTCAGAACGGTCTCGATACCAAGGTAGAGAAGTCTAGAAAACAGATGAAGGAAAGGAAGAACAGGGCCAAGAAAATTCGTGGTGTTAAGAAGGTATCAATTGTTGTTTTCTAGTCATATATACTTATAAGCATCTTGCAAAACTTTTGTTAGATATTAATGTATGCTTTGATCTAATCACACATTGGTTGCTATCTTATGCAGACCAAAGCTGGAGATGCTGCTAAGAAGAAATGAGCACCCTTTATCTTTTTTTGTTTTCCAATGTTAAAGATTTAAGCTTAAGATACACAATGTAGGTTACTGAAGGCCCTTTCTTAATTGTTGAGTTGCAAACAGTTTTGTCATTCTCTTGTTATAACATAGACTTGTTCATTTTGTTATCATATTCAACTAGTTTTACCCGTACATTTGTGCGAAAAGCGATATAATAGAAGAGAAAGTAATGAAAAATATAGATTAAAATAAAAATCATAACTTGAGGAAAAAAAAAATTAAAAAAGTGAATGTAAATATTATAAATACTTTTTTATATACAACATTCGTTGTTTTTCTATCGTCAGAAATTAGAATCTCTATCCCTGTTTGATGTATCTTTGTATTTTGTAATATCTGATAAAATATTTTTTTATTATTGTATGAATACAATAGAAAATAGAGATATTTGTAGTCATTCTTAATTAGTTGTGAAATATGTATTTATATAATATCAAAAAATATATAGTATCAAAATAAAAATAAATTTTTTTTGGTATTTATGGACATAAAGAGGCGTTACATAAATGAGCATCATCCAAAATGAGACCTATCAAAATAAATTGTTTAACTGAAATTTGTTAAATACTATTAAATGGTGAACATATATTCATTATATGAACACCTATTTATTAAATGAACGCATATTATTATGAATTGTTGGTTGAATAGAATTTTTTGAAGTTTGCCATCAATTATATATATATATATTTATGTTCATATTCGTGTCTGTTATGTTTTTCCGTAATTTTCCTTTTCTTGATTCTTCCTTGTTAATGTTCTATTCATATTTAATTATTACTGTATTTATATTATATATTGAATAATCAAATAACATAGATTACTGTATTCAATCCCCTGAAGTTGCCCGATAGATCCCCTTCTAAGACTTCTCCTGCAAATGGATGCCCCCGAGATGGTACGAGCCTCTTATCCTAGACTCGAGCTTGTAGATTGCGTATCTAAGCTGCCAACCTCTCCAGCATCAAACTCAGCCCTCTTCTAATGCTGGACTCGTTGCTAAGGTATGGATAGTTGATGAGGCGGGGTTGCCGGAATGACTCATTAGGAGCTCTCTTGTCCACTTCTTGAGCTCAGCCTATGGCCTCAGCGATGATCCTATTTAGCTCTGCCTTGGTCACATGAATAACTTGATATCCTCTAGGCGCTGGGGGAGGATGGTTTTCCAGCACGTTCTGTTCATCTACTACGACCATCTACATGTTCTCTTGGTGGTCAGCCTGCTCCTCGGCCCCACCAGATCCCAGGACGGTCTGCTTATTGGTCCCTCCGTCGGCCTGGATGTCGAGCTCACTTTATTTGTCTTTCTGCTGCCTGACCCCCTGGGTTCGCCACCATCTGTCTCGAAGATTGCCCCTGGGTTCCTGATAGCGGCGTCAACGCCGTGCCTGGTGCCGACAGTGTCTTCTTTGGGATAAAAATAGCTGGTTGCGACCATCCTGGCGTTCCGAATACTCTCTTAGTCTATGCCTCATCCATATCCTTTGCCAGATTATTGCTTGAGTTATCTTCTGTCATATTTATTTTTTTTTTAAAAAGAGAAAACTACGCTTAGTCTATATGATAAAAGATTGAGTGGTGTCCCCACAGACGACACCAATTTGTTGTAGAAGTTATCCTCTGATCCGGTTTGAACCGCAATCCACTGATTTGAACTGTCTTGACGTCTTCGATGACCTTCAAAACACCGAGAGGGGTCCCGGCAGAAAACACTCCGACGCCCAAGTCAGTTTACGTTCAGCAACAATGTAGTATTAAAGTATTTTGCGCGTGTATGTGTGTATTGTTAAAATAATGACTTGTTTCCCTTATATAGATGAGGTTGTGTGTTAATCAAGATATTCCAAGTGGAGTTAAGACTCCAAGTCCCACAAGAAGTCTTCTTCTATCTTTATTCCCGTTGAGTCCTGATTCTCCCCAAATCTAGAGTCCTCGACGATGCATACATCCTGACTTGAACGTTCTAGTTCCCTTCTTCTATCCAACTTCAAACTTGGAGTTACCACTTTACCCCCTAGGATGACCCTGCTGGTATGAGCACCGAGGCCGGCTTAATGGCCGACCTCACCACCATGCTCGGCCACTTTAGATCGTATCAGTATATAAACTGTCGAGCTATCAATTGAACCTTTGTAGAGCTTCTTTGGCGCTATAGCACCCGCTATAAATCTTTAATAACCTCTTATGATGAGCTTCTCGAACAATCTTTCGCAGTACCCAACTGAGCTAAGTGATCCAACCTTAGTGTCCTGAGTTCAGCCTCCGAACCCTAAGCCTTTGCAGGCAAACGCGGAACTTCACGGGAGCTCGGCCCATGATATTTCCTACAAGTCTCTCTGTGCTATATATCACCTGAATTTGCTACTTCACGTGTACTTCTTGCCTGAAATACTTACCAATTACCATAGTTTATTTAATATATGTTTCTTAATAATATTATTATTTTTCAGAAGAAATTACATTAATGATGTAAAATATCAATAAGTTTAAAACCATTAATAATCAATATTCTTTTTATCAAACATATTAATTTCAAAATCTAATCTATTAATAAAAGAATAGATCTCATGCAGATGGTGTAGAATGACGACAATCTGTGGTTGGCAAAATGGGCCCAAACAGAAGGCCCGCTCTCAGTTTAGATATCTGCTAAAGGCCCATTATATAATAGAAGTGAAATTAGGTTTTTCGAAGTCCTTTCCCCCACGAAGTGAAACCAAACAGCTGCTCCCCCGAAGAACACAGCTTTCTCCTCATCGGAAACTCAAACCATGGTAACGTGTTAATTTGCTTCCTAGGATTTGATAATCGTATGTATTAATGTTACTTTTTTTCATACTCACTGATTTCTTTTTTTTTTTTTTTTTTTTTGTGTGTGTGTGTGTGTACAGTCGTTGGTAGCAAATGAGGATTTTCAGCACATTCTGCGGGTGCAGAACACTAACGTGGACGGTAAGCAGAAGATAATGTTTGCCCTGACTTCCATAAAGGGAATTGGCCGCAGGTTTGCCAACATTGTCTGCAAGAAGGCCGATGTTGACATGAACAAGAGGTACATTGGTTCATTTGGGTTTTACCTTTTGATCATTCCTTAATTTCAGACCCCAACTTACAGTAATAGTTTATTTGCTTGATTCTAATCATTTTTTGGCTGTCAAGTTTAGATGTTCTATTTTGACCAATGGTCTATGAATTAGCATGTTAATTAGCTGGTCAGTTTTTTTGTGCTACGAATGCTGAAGCTGTCAAACATTAATCTTTAATAACTGTACTTTTTGTCTCCCAATCATTCATAATGTACAAATTTTTGTGTGAGGTGGCTAGCTATTAGGTGGGTTGATACTTTTGTAGCAAGAATGTGTATTTATGTTGTAAAGTTTCATACTTCTGTTGACATTTTCTGTTGACATTTGAGCTTGAAAGTATGCATTTATGTTATAAAGCTTTGTGATTTATATTTCACTAGATAGAGTTCTTCTATGACATGGACTAGACCAACATCTTTCCAATTAACGTAGTTTGTCGATTTGCTCTAATCGAAGACATTAGTTGCTCACAGAAAAGGATACTCAAGTAATTAATTGATCTTTGCCAATAGTTCCTTCATTTGTATATGCTGCCACTTAAACTCTACATTGTCTTGAACAAATTCATTTTCTTCTCAAATATGGTGATCTTGCTGTCTTTCTACTCCTTAAATGATTCGAAGTGACTGTATTGTACAGAGCTGGTGAACTTTCTAGTGCTGAAATTGATAGCCTGATGGTGATTGTTGCAAATCCTCGTCAATTCAAAATACCCGACTGGTTCCTTAACAGAAAGAAAGATTACAAGGATGGGAAATATTCACAAGTGACATCCAATGCCTTGGATATGAAGCTTAGGGATGATCTTGAGCGTCTCAAGAAAATCAGGTTCGATTTGTATGACCTGTGAAAAATGCTTCACTCATTTTTTTATTCTCTGTATGTTAATGGTTTCGATTTGGTGTAATAATGACCACAGGAACCACCGTGGGCTCCGACACTATTGGGGTCTTCGTGTCCGTGGACAGCACACAAAGACCACCGGACGTAGGGGAAAGACTGTTGGTGTCTCAAAGAAACGATGAGCTGTCTATATTTTCATTTGTTTTTTTTTTTGGCCTTTTTTCTTTGCATATTTATTAAGAGGAGGATTTTTGGTTTTGATTTTGGCTACACTCTACTTCAGTTATCACATTTTGGTGGGAGCTTTTGGATATTCTTATGTTGTGGTAGTTTTGCTTTTCAACTATGGATTTTGGGGACTAGCTGTTTATATTATATCTGGCTTCGAGTGTTTTGTGTTGGATTAGAGGCCACAATGACTTGGACTACTCGATACTATTAGAAAATACCAAATGACTTTTAGAAAACATGATTATAGAGAAATAATGATGTAGAGAACACGATTAGAAGGAAATGACAATCTTCGAAAACATGATTATAGGCTAACGACTTAGTGTGACAATCTTCGAAAACATGATTATAGGCTAACGACTTAGTGTGTGTTTAGTAAGCAATATAAAGCTATATGCACTTAGTGTGTGTTTAGTAAGCAATATAAAGCTATCTTAGCATATAGCTTATTTGGTTAGTTTATAATTTTTTTTTATTTGTTTAGTTTATAATTTTTTTTTTCATCAAAATGTTTAGTTCATATAGACAGTTTTCAAATGAAATTGTAACAATTTTTTATTTCAATTGACTTATCAACTAATTTTATTATACACTTTACTACTATATGAGCTAGTTTTCAATCATAAATCTAAACTACTAACCTTGAAATTCACTTTCAAGTTAACTTCTCGAAGAAAACATGATTATAAAGAAATAATTTCAAGTTAACTTCTTGAAATGACATCATTTATTATCAATCAATTGAACCAAATAAATTAGATTTACGAATAGTACAAAACCGTGATTCACAAACTCTAACTGCGTCAGAGATTTGCCACCAACCTTACTCTGGATTGATCCATACGAAATACATAGTATATTATTACACCAGTCAAGAGTAACGCACATACAGACATACTAGTACAAGTAACAACTACACTTCCCTAACATTATTGACACACACTACTAAACAAACATGTCTCAAGTTTCATATTTACACATCCAAAAGTAGTCTTGCCAAACAAAACACCAAACACACAAAGTAGCTTAGTCCTATCATACCACAACCCGGCCAATCACCTTCACTTCTCCTGATTAAGCCTTGCTGCAGCCGCCACCGAAGCCGCCACGCCGCCAGGGTGTGTGGCCATGTCAGCTTTATTCCGAACCTCCGCAAATATCACTCCCTCCGCATCTTCCCTAGTCACCGCCTTGTCATCAGTCAGCTTCGTAGTCGCATCCTACCAAAATAAATAAATCAATGAAAACATTTTCCCCCTCTTTTTTAATAATTAATAAAACAAAAGCAAAATTGCCTTAATAATATCAACACCTTTTTCGAAATTGAAATTGCAATTTAATTGTAGATAACAATCCAGTAGATCACAATCAAATCAACTTTTCTAGGAGAGTTTTTCAAAACCAGTACACCGATTTGCAACAAACATATAACTTGCAAAGTTAAAAAGTCATTATTAAATTGCAATTTTGAAAAAAAATGGGAAAAATAGGAAACTAGAAATTTTACAGCCAAAATGTCTCCAAGCTTGGCTTTGTCTTCCTTTTGGGTGACTCCGAGATTGTAGGCAGCTGCGGATTGAGCTTCTGCCGCTACGCCACCTGGCACCACGTGGCCCAGCCCGGTGGCCCGGACCTCGGCCGCCGCTATAGCGGCGGCATCACTCACATCCACAGGTTTATCTCCGGCAGATAGTGCCGTTGCTTCCAGTGCTTCGCCTATGGTGATGGCCTCCGCCTCAAGAACCGAACCAGGTTTAGTCATTTTCACGTCGCTTGGCCGACCATACTCTCCGACCACCTAACATAATAATAATGGGATAAAAACTATAATTAATTCTTTCTTTCTTTTGGAATTCTTCAACACTTTTTTCTGATGATTTGGATTTTTAAGACTTTTACAAGTCCGTTTAAGG